ATTCCTTCATTTGTTTGCTTTCAGCAGCTCTCAGCCAATTTTGTATTGTATCATTGAGGTCAAGTGAGAAGATCTCTTTTTGTGTCTTCCAATATCACATTTGTTGGTTTGCCTTGCTTCGCTGGTTCTTCAGTGTTAAGTCTTTTGATAATCTGATACCACTCAACTTTGTTCCTTACATACACAGTCTTGTAACCTAACTGAAGGTCCGTGATTAACTTGGTCGTTGCGCATTGCTTATCAAGATATTTACAGTAAAAAATATTCACTGCTGGGACAGGATTTTTTTACACCCAAGGGACTTACAGGACCTGAGGCAAATTGTTTGATACGCCCGGACAATTGGTGCATGATCATCTTATTGTTTTAATTGTGTTGGTTACACATCTCTTTCTCCAAAGCAATTTATAATCTTGAAAACCGATTTTGGGCAAAAAACTGCATACCTGTGTCTTCAAGCTTAGTAGACATTGTGTACAAGCACTGATACGAGAAACAAATTTCAAAATTCAACTGTTGACAAAAATTTGTGGCAGTCCTCTGCTCACACTAGAGTCTATAATCATCTGTATGGTGAAAGTAGTGGAGGGACCAATGAATAGTCTGGTAAGCAGTCCCTACATTATAGTTGGAACTATGGGGTGGGATTCAAAATTCAGTGGTGAGGGTGACATACATTTTTGTCACCTCATTATGTGATCATTCTGGGCCATGGTGAAAATACAGTATTCAAGATGAAGGTGTAACAAACATGTACGTGTGTTTAACAACTTGAGATGTCCACCAGACAAAGATAGTGTCCTACCACAACAGAGAAACATTTACTTGATATTTGAAATGTCAAGATTCAGATGTTGTCATGGAGATAACCTGATAGCCATGCTATCAAAGTGTATATTCATACTGCTTTCTACGGTAGAACATGTATACGGGTACAAATTATAAATGCTTTTCTTTTAAACAAATCAGTGAAATACAGAGATTGGATTCATACATGTGTATTAAACATTTCTTTGTGACTTGCAGTTCTGGAAAATTAATACAAAATTTGTTTGGTCTGTTCGTTTAAGAAAGTCTTATTAACAAATCAGTGTTTTCTGTCTGAAAATTCAGGGTTACTAAAGTTTGTTCAATTTTCCTCATCATCTTTTTAATTAATGGAGACATGACTTGATTTCTTTGCAGGCAAGTTGATAGAAGAGGAAGAACTAGGGGAACGGGGTATCACCATAGAAACCATCAATAGTTACATCCAATCAGCGGGTGGTTTCCTGGTTACAGTTGGTGTGCTTTTCTGCTATGCCGTATCTGTTGGTTTCACTGTGTTTTCTAGTTGGTGGTTAAGCCATTGGCTGAATAATGGAAGTGGGGTGAGTCCAAAAAGACTATTTCTATTACCCCAGGAATTAAATTGACTTATCAAATCTTTGTTTCACTTGCTATTGTAGTTTTGAGTACCATAGCACACGTACCGGTATACATTTGATAAACATAATTCTGGCATTTACACAGCATTCTTTCACCAACTGGTATCATAAAAAAAGTGTGTTGTGGGTCATTCTGTAAATACGGGGACCAAATGTGTGACATTTTTGTATCCCTGTTACACCTGGTCTGTGCAATTGGAATATCACTGAAATTAACTTCATGTACATGTACATGTATTTCTATTTGTCTGGCTGGTAACTTGCATTAACTCATCACTCTTGGAATTAAAAAATATGTTCTGAACTTGCAAAAGCATATGCCAGGTGTGACAGGCACATGAGGAATAACCCCAATACAGAATGGGGAATTGAAATGGTAATGGGTGACGAGGCAAGAGAAGTCTGGGAAAGATGAATATTAAGTAATGTTTTAAAGTCAGCAAGGGAAGTTGCATGACAAATCTTATGAGGAAGATTATTCCAAAGATTAGGAGCAGCTGCATAAAAATCTTTTGTGGAAATGGAAGAGCAAGTGTCTACAGTAATTAAGGTGGTGTGGCCCATCCATCTTAGCTTACAAAACATGTGCAGGGTAGTGCTGTTGTGTGCTAAGATTCCAACACTAGGCATATAGTGAAATTCTCAGGTTTTGGGGTATATACGTACTTGTATGTATTTATTCTGTGAGGGCAAAAACCTTGTGGTAAAATAATAGGGGTAAAAATGGTGGTGTAAAAATAACATGGTGTAAAAATAACATGGTGAGGATAGCACTCAACAGGTCTTGGACTTGGTATGTACATGTGATCATTATTGATGGAATGAATGACTTTCATTGACAGAATACAACCATTACGGTGGATAATGTGACTGTGATAAGTGACAGTATAACAGATAATCCCAGACTACGGATATATCAACTAGTGTACGGCTTGTCAGCGGCTGCATCCCTGTCTGTGATAGCATTCCGTTGCTTTGTTTATGCGAAAGTAAGTCAAAGCACCGGTACCAGACCATTTCATTTACCTTGTGCTTATATTCAGGTCTGGTAACCAGTCTAGAAGTGACTGATTATTTACTATGTACATTCACTTTGCTTATTCGGAACTTCGTGAACAAGAAGTACCTCGATCTACATCAGCAAGAAATGGTGTTTCTGGTGCAACGCGGCGTAATGCCCCTACCAAAGCGCATTTGGTGTCTGTACATACGTGTAACTCTACAGATTCAGTTGATAATACAAGCTTGCTTGGATATCATTTCTAAGTCTGTCTTCTGAACATAGATGTTGTCCACTGCACAATTTAACCATTGGATCTCATAGCATGCATTACCCCCATGTACACATGTCACCTCAGAGATTAGTTCATATTTAGACTGGCCTCTTGACCAGCGTTTCATTATAATTTTTTTAATTTTCAGATGACACTTCGAGCCTCTTCCAACCTCCACAAGAATGTCTTCCAGAAAGTCATGCATAGCCCGATGAGTTTCTTTGATACAACTCCCCTTGGCCGAATTCTGAATCGCTTCTCCAAAGACCTGGATGAGTGTAAGATGGTCTGCTTTTCTTCTCACTAAACATGTAAAACCAGAGTG